CAATGAAAATTCCATGATTATTTATGTGATGGGTAGGCACTTGCATTTATGGATGTTTATATTTGATTCATGATAATGAATGTATGGATGATGAATTTGGTCGTTAATTATATGGTTCCATGGATCGCATTAAATTCGTTCAAATTAAATTATTCAAGATTAGAATTACTGTAATTTTAGGTTTTGGGTAGAATTAGGGTTTTGATTTCGAATCAAAAAGAGGCATGGAAGATCAAGTTTGAAGCTTTGAAGGTGCCCAGAAACAACCCAAGTCTGTCCAGAAATTTTTCCAAAAAAAAAAAAAAGGGGAGCCCACCGCGCGCGCGCCCAGGCGTGCCCCGCGCACATCCGCCAAGGTGCGCCCAGACCTGAATTTTGACAATAACCGGGTGCACAATCAATTTCTTATGGTTATTGACCTCTCCGTAACAAAATTCCGCCAAAATTGATTCCTTACGTAATCCACACACTTCAAGTTAGAAAACAACAACGCATTCATCCTTGAAGTGACGACATGAATCTTTATCAGCAAAAGAAGTTGCTTGTATACCACGCAAAATTACAAAAGATTTTATAGCACAACTGTATCCTCCAAATTGGATTTGAAGGCAATGCACGCAACTTGATTCCTATTAGCTAGTATCAATAGCAGGAAATCTAAAATATAGTCCATCTCCACAATGCAAGTTCCAGAGTAAAATTCCCACATTCCATAAACGAGTTACCGACAAACTCAACCTTCAGAACTAATCCAACTGCGACCAGGTATTTTTTTGACTCCTCTCTCCTTCATTTTGTTCCTCACAAGGGAAACGTCCAACCAGCGCTCTGCTGCTGCGTAAATATTGGATAGAAGCACATAATTACCAGCATTCTGAGGTTCAATCTCTAATAGTTTACTAGCGACCAACTCGCCTATCTCTATATTGCAATGTAGCTTACAGGCCCCGAGTAGGGCACCCCATGCCCCAGCATGAGGCTCCACAGGCATTAATTTCAGAAGCTCATAAGCTGTTTTCAACCGCCCTGAACGGCTGAGAAGATCAACCATACAAGCATAATGATCTTGAGAAGGTACAATGGAATACCCATTTTTCATGGATTCAAAGAAGTGCCAACCCTCCTCAACGAGCCCGGCACAGCTACAACCAGATCCGCTAGTCTCAGCCAGCGACGAACAGAGATTTTGGGGACTCCGCCGTCGACAATCGAAGGAGATAAACGGAGAGAGGGAGTCCGAGAGAGAGAAGAAAAATAAACGGAGGGAGAGAGCTTTGGCTGAGAGAGGCTGAGGGCTTCCCAAAAGCATTACCAAACGGAGCCTGAGGCGAGAGAAGCGAAGGTTGAGAGGCTGAGAGTTTCAGGGGGAGGGGCTGAGGAGAAGTGTGCACGAGGACGATGGAGAGATCGGGTTATTTTGGGAATAACCAATATTTCATTAATGACTCCATTTAGCTTCCCGCAGAATCTGAAATCAAAAGCAGCAAATGAGCTGCTTCTGATTTCAGATGAAAAATAACTTCTAGATTTTTTAAGAATCTATTTTTATGTGTTTACCAAACACATTTCAAACTTCAGCTGAAAAAAAAAAAAAAAGTGCTTTTGGCTTCCCAAAAGCATTACCAAACGGAGCCAATGTGTTT